CCACCACTACTACCACTACTACCACTACTACCACTACTACCACTACTACCACTACTACCACTACGACTACTACCACCACCACCACGACGACTACTACTACTACTGCTACTGCTACTACTACGACTACTACTACCACGACCACCACTACTACCACTACACCACCACTACTACTACTACTACGACGACGACGACGACGGATGACGAGGATAGGCACAAGAAGTTTGGTTTGACAGCAACACCGATAGTGAGCTCGCTGTGATTTGCTTGAGGCGCAGCATCCGGCCACCATGATCTCGGTGCGGGGCTGTGGTCTTCTGTAGATGTCACATCGGTTGCTGCAGGTCACCTGTATTTCAAACCAAGGGTTACCGTAGAGGCACCAGTTGTACTGGGACTTCACCGTACTCAAGATCCATTTTCGACAAACCCTCAAGTGCCATGTGTTCACAGCCTGTTGCCAACTGCTTGTAGCAAGAAAGACATCCTTGCATGACCGGTGCCCTGGAAGCATGTCCTTTCTATGATTGTGCGCAGGCAGAGTTGGCTGAAGAACGGTTTCACCGCTTCCCATGAGGATCAAAGTTTCCATGGGAGAGAACCAGTGCTCTGCGCCACCCCAACAGCATGCACACCTCTTTCCCTATAACCCTACACCCTAATGCTCTAAGGTGGCACAGGAAAATTCCATGCGCAAGAGGCGCTCCACTTGCTGGAATGAGCAAACTGCCCCAGCAAGTCGGCCATCTTTCGTCCAGACTCTATTCTATCATGCATACCTCAGATCTATGTTCTGTTAGCACTTGGATTTGTGTGCAACGAAGTGCTCGTAAAATGTAGCTTGCGTAAGGTTACTAATACTAAGCTAGCTCAAAACTCGAAGGACTCAGTCGTCTTTCGACGTGCAAACAAAAGAAATCCGTTTCAACGCTACCACGGTTGGGCTTTAGTTCACGTTGGCTGCATGACATGGGCTCTTTGCTAGATGAAGGAGTGAGTACACAGCGGCAGTTCAAGTTTGATCCGCATTGACTTCTGACTGATGTCCGAATCGGCGCAGGGCTCAAGTGCTTGCTGCAGAGCTAAAGTTTGCAGCATGGCGCATGCGCAGCCCAAGATGGTGGAATTGGTTCTTCAGCAGGTGCATTGGCTGTGTGAGCGCACCTCAACACGCGTGCCTCCTTGGTCCTATGAAACTTGCTCTGGCACTTTTCCCGGTAGGACATTTCATCCTCACAGACCACCATAGCGGCTGTCAGCATCGGAGATTCGCGGGGCGCCCCATCGACGAGGAGTATGTGCTTTCCCATGCAGTCCCTGCGGCCCGAGGCAGACAGTCGGAAACCTGAGGGACGTCCGTACGTCCTTCCATTTTGCAAAGGCCGTGGCATGCCGTGGCCTCCTGTGAAAAGGGGTCCCCTTGTGGGCAGCTCCAGCAGTCCGCAGGCGACTGGCCACTACGGCAAAGTGGAAGTCTTCCATCGCCTGGCTGGCTGCAGGATGCCCGGCTTCCTGAAAAGTGGCGAGTCAAAAGCCGCCCTTCCCAAGATCGCTTCGAGGTCGCTTAGACCCGGTCCTCGACCATGTCCCAGAAGCCAAGGCCCGAAGCAACGCACTTCTTCTCAATTTGGGGTCAAATGTCAAACGATGCAGGTCTTGCTCCGAGAGGCCAGCAGCCGGGAGCTCGATCTTCCTCGCAGCTCGCTCACAGAGCAAACGCAGGCACGCGCGAGAATCGGTGAACATGCGAGGCTCGCAGGAACCTGCTCGGGAGGGGGACCCAGGCCCAGGGCAACCTGCCGAAGCCGAAGCCTCGCAATGCCTCGCAGTCGCTTGGGAAACGTGATCTGAGTACATCACTCCCTGCCCCGACCCAGGCTTCTGATTTGGGTGCCAAATGCTCCGCCTCTGAGTACATCAGGATGCCTTGCACTCAACACCCCAGCCGCAACACACTCTTCCCTGCAAAGCACGTGCTGTGACGTGGAACGCTTTATGAACTCTGCGGGAAACTGACATCCCCGCCTGACCATCCCATACGAGGGACTGCAATCTCGGGTCTCGGCTCAAGTGCAGCTTGCTTGGGGCGTCGAATCGGCGCTGCTTCGACGGCGCCTCAGACGCTGCCTAGGCGGACGATTTTCCGATCAATGGCTCTGGTTGGCGAGCTTGCGCCAAGCCTCTCCAGATGGGCGACACATACCCCAGCTTGTGCATCCCAGCCTGCGAGGGCGCGAGGGCCAAGAGCGCTCGGTGGCCGAGATGCTCGGGTGCCCGCTTCGTCTGGACCTAGCCTGGCCGGCCTCACCAGACTATCTCTGGCTTCTATCGCTGCTGCTGCTGCAAAGAGTCTCAGCATCAGGCGAGCAACGAGCTCGAAGGGCCCTCCAGCATGGGCCGCCGAAGACTTCAGATATGTATACCCCTTCTCCGATGGCGTGGAGGCCTTCTCCTTCAAGCCGGCGACAAAAAGATATACTATCGATTTTCTCAGGTCAAGCTACTTCTTGATTCTCCACATCATCGCGTTCGCCTGCGGACCATGCTTGTGCATCAAATGTAAACACCTGGGGACCCAGAGATTGGGAGTGAGTGAGTGGTGCGGTATTTGCCGTTCCAGTTTCGGTTGCAGACCCCACCCTAAACTGTTGGTTGTAATTGCAGTAGCTACACATTGGGTTGCCCCATCAGCGCGTGACCGCAGGACCGAGTACGTTTTCACTTCCCGCTCTTCTTTGTTGCCTTGGTCTGTTCGTGTTTTTCCAGACGCTGGGAATCTCGCTGTCTTACCATCGACATTTGACTCACCGTTCTTTTCAGTGTCACAAGTACTTCGAGCAGCTGGGAATCAGATACTTCTATCGTCTCCGCGCAGTAACGTAAGTAAGCAAGCTACATCGGCGACTAAGCCTGGAAACGATTGCCTGGTTTTTCCTTGGTGATGTGAGGTACTTCATCGCGTATTGCGGCGCCTTAAACATGCAGGGCAATCCGATATGGTGGGCCATGAACCACACGTGGCACCACAGATTCTCGGACACTCCCTGGGATCCGCACACTCCACGGGAGGCACGTTGCTGGAGTATGCTGCCCTAAGGCCCCACCCCCATCCACCCTCATCAACCCAACACCCAGCTCCAGAAGTGCCTTGCGCAGGGGCTCTGGACTGCCCATGCCGGGTGGTTCTTCGAGAAGGAGCGGGTTCTTGAGAAGATGCCGAAGGCCATCGTGGCCTCCCACAACCACGTGGAGCCTGGCGAGGAGGATGAAGCCTACCTCCCTTGGTTCTACAAGGAGTCCCCCCAGTTCTACGACTGGCTTCGGCAAACCTATTACATACACCAAGTCTCTCAGGTGGCGCTGTTGTATCTGTTGGGTGGGTGGAGCTTCGTTGTCTGGGGCTTTGTGATCCGACTCCTCATGGGCATTCACGGATCGGCCCTCAGTTGGAGTACATCCCGTGCAGTACATCCGGTGACTTACATAGCCCGAGTGCCAAGCCCGGCCCCGAACTGAGGAGTCTCGGCCGTGAACTCCTTTGCGCATGTTTGGGGTGAGCAGCCCTTCAATACCGGTGACGACTCCAAAAACAATGTCTGGGTGGCCATGGTGTCCTCAGGCGAAGGCTGGCACAACAATCACCACGCATTCCCAAGGTCCGCGAGGCATGGGCTTTTCCCGCCTCTTGCTTCAATTAGTCCTGATTTGCCATCGTGTTGCCTACGGGCTAGCTTCAATTCGATATGACAACGAAGGGGACAGTTCGATCTGACCTATGCATCTCGGCCGCATCTTCAGGGACGTGCAGGTTTAAGGCGGACATTGCTTGGCTTGTCAGGTTTTGTAGGCCGGGGTGTAAAGCAGGCAGGTATCCGCAAGGCAACGTGGCCGTGGGAAGAGCCCGACCCAGCCCATCTTACCCATAGACAGCATTCGAATGACGTAGCTTCCGTGTCGATCAGTTTAGCCACACCTGAGAATTTGATCCTCCTGCTGGAGAAGCTCGGAGTGGTTTGGGATGTGCAGCTTCCCAGCGATGCGCAAATCGCCGCAAAGCTGCGCTCTGCGAGTGAAGCGAAGGAAGCGAAGGATGCAAAGGTCCCAGTTACGAGTGAGGCCTAGCTCAGAGGCGCCGGGGCCGGGGCCGTGCTCAGGGATCCTCGCCAGACATGTCAAATGCCATCGAAAAACTATGGCCATTGCACGAGTCCCTGCTAGACTTCGTGCTTCGGGTGGTAGGGTCGGGTGGTAGGGTCTGCCGTCCTGGTGCAGTGCATCCTACAATCAGCCTTTCTGGCATGCAAGCTGTAGCAGTCGTCTCTGGAAGTTGCCCGCACTCGCTCTCCATATTGATCAGAGCCAGCTGAGGCATGACTTAGAAGCGCGGCTTGCTTGCGCTGTGGAGGCGCCTTTGTTGAACGGGAAGCGAGCTTCTGTAGCTGGCTACAGTGACTGGCATTTTAGGTTGTTTAGGTCTGCTTCTGCCTACCTGCATCGTGCGCCGGCCTGATCCATTCGAGATTGCAGGAGCTTCTCAAGAAGCGGCCTCCACCAGAGGCTGCTTGTGAGTTCTTGGCCGCGGCGCTGTCCCAGTCTTACTTAACAACGGGTTCGCATTGCTTCACTTTATCGTGTCGACCAGCCAAACTAGCGATCGCAGAGCAGATCCAGACAGCGCGCTACCTCCGGCCAAGAAGCCAGAACAGGGTCGCCATAGTTGTTCTACTGAGGTGCGCAGGCTAGCACTGGGGGCGGCAGCTTTGTTCCACTCGTCTTGGGCTGCATGTGCACGCTATGTTAACGTCTCTCCGGCGCTGTCTCTGAACCTCGGAGACTGCATGACCGGTCCTAGCCGAGCCAGCCGTCCGTCAAACGTCGCTGCCTCCCGTATAATCGGCAGATGGTAGTTTGCTTTTGCTTGCATGGCTAATTTTCGACAGTGGCCAACCCCATCAGTAAAAGGACCAGATTCTGTGTCTATGATTGCAAAGACAACGATCGGATAATTTGCCAACTTCTTGTGCCCCAGCTCTGATCTGCGTGGTTTTGTTCTGTTGGGCTTTCGGCCAAGCGCTGTAGCGTGAAGCTGGAGAGGTTACCACAAGAGTTAGTTTAACCAGGACATGCAAACAATTGCAAACACGCATCATCCGCGACACAACTGACAAGCCTTGCAAAGCTGATGTACCCTGCAGCTTTGTCCACAACCTACGACAGGCAGCGTGCCGTATTCACCTACACACACAGCGAGTCGAACCCTAAACCCTAAACCCCTACCCCCCCAAACCCCTAAACCCTAAACCGCAGAGAGTCGATGAGAGTCTAAAAGAGCGGAGCTTCGGAGACTTTGCAGCTTGCTGTGGGCGCCATGGCGGCGGGTGCGGGAAGCCGGGAGCTGAGGGGAGCTCCGTGGGTTTAGGGGTTTCGGGGTCTCGGGGT